GTGTTCTTGTGTTTACTTGTTAGCTTTTTATCCACAGTTGCTTCTTATATTTTCAGAACACAGACATGCCGAAGAGTAGAAACAATCTTGAAAATGAAAGCTCCTTTAGTCAATGTTTTTCTTTTCCTTTGTTACTTGATTGGATCCTCATGACACCCACGCTTACCGGGAAAGGGCACGTGGTCGCGCCGCAGCTGCTGGCGGAGGCCCCGACAGACACGTCCCAGTGGGTGGAGTGAAGCCAGACCATCGATCCCTGCTCTATGCTCTGTGTGGCTTCTGTCAGATGCACTTCTGTTCTACCTTGCTTTTTCCGTAACGCCACAGATACCATTCTCAAGTATCCTTAATCTTGGTGTGTGGGCCATACTTTCTGAAAAATCAATACATATTAGGAAAAAAAAACAAAAACAAACCCAAAACCTCTCCAATTCTTTCTTCTCTGTCAATTGAGCTGCAGTGACTTGGTGGTGGGAGAGTGTTCACCCGTCATGTGTCTCTATTCTTCCAGCAGCTGCCACGTTCTCCTGGGGAATTGCGCTGGCCCCCCTGTCCCTCATATTCTTGGTTTTGGGGGGAATATGGATACACAGACGGTGTAAGCACAGAACAAGAAAAGCCTGTGGTTTGTTGGAGTTAAAGACTGGCCATCAAGAATCCGCTCCATGTAAAGTAAAGGAAATAAAATAGTTCAAATCAAACAGTAACAATAAACAATATCATTTCGTACAGAAGTGGTTCTGCTTTTTGAGGGACTCTATTCTTTTCTTCGGTTGTTTAACAGAACTGCTGTGTTAATAGTGGGTTTGTAGTAAAAGATTGAAGGGTTCGTGCAAAATTTATTCTGAAACCAAGTTACTGGAGCCAGTGTGCATGTGCGTGGGCATGAGGCGCCCTTCAGCCTGGATAAGAGCTGAAAGCACCTGAATGAGTTTTAAATTTCATTCACTCATTCATTCATTTCACAAAAATGTGTTAAAAGTCTATTTGGGTTATGCTCTATGGCAGGTCTTAGAGTTACAAAGATAGTTAAGTCATAATTTGCCTTTTGGGAAGATTTTGGAACTGGAAAGGATGATTTAGAAATACTGAAGAAGAATCAGCAAGCATTTGTAAGTTTTTTTTTCCCAAAAGGATGATCCAAAAAATAACAATTCAATAGACAAGTCAGAAAAATACATGTTAGAACATATTAGTGAACTGAGAAATAGATTTGACTTCATAACAAAACTTCTGAGAATGAAGAGAAGGGGAGAGTGTCAAGATAATTGCATCCACATTGGGGAAAATAATCGGAGCCTCTTATGTAATATGCTAAAAATAAATTCCAGCTGAATTAATGAGTTGAATTAAAAAATCAAAGAACAAAGGAACCAGCCATAAGGGCTACCCAATGACTTCTCTACAGAAACACTGCTTGCCAGAGGGGAGTGGCAAGATATATGTGAAGTCTGAAAGAGAAAAAGCTGCAACCCAGAATGCCCTACCTAGCAAGATTATCATCTAGGATAGAAAGAAAAAGAATTTCTCAAGCAAAAACTAAAAGAACACAGCAATACTAAACCTATCCCAAGAGAAATATTGCAAAGTCATCTCTAAATAGAAAAGCGAAAATCTATAGAAAAGAGAAACTCAGAAGCAGAAACGTGATTAAAATCAGCAGCAAGAGAATAAACTGGAAGATGTAAAAGAGGACAACAAAATCAAAATGGGGACAGGAGAGCGGGAAAATGTATATTTTTTTTCTTTCTTTTTAGAATGTCTTGGAGTTTTTTATAATACATTTGAGCTTATATTGCCAGTCTAAAGCAAGTAGATATATAGTAATGGGTTAATATACTTGAAAAACAGGATAACCACAAATCAAAAACATACAGTCACAGAAACCAAAAAGAAAAGAAATCAGCATAATATAAGAGAAAATCATTAAATCACAAAAGGAAAAAGAAAAAAGAACAAAGAAGAAATACAAAATCAACTGGAAAACGTTTAAAATGGCAATAAATACACATCAATAATTACTATAAATATCAATGGACTAAATGCTCATTCAAAAGACAGAGTGGCAAGTTGGATAATGAAACAAGAGCCTTCAATATGCTGCCTATAAGAGACACATCCTGAAATCATTTGGAATTACAAAAGATCCAGAATTGCCAAAGCAATACTGAAGAAAAAGAATGAAGGTGGAGGCATAGCCCTCCCAGACTTCAGACAATACTACAGAGCTACAGTAATCAAAACAGCATGGTATTGGCAAGAAACCAGACATATGGATCAATGGAACAGAACAGAGAGCCCAGAAAGAAAGCCACACACCTACAGTCAATTAATCTTCAACCAAGGAGGCAAAATATACAATGGAGAAAACAGTCTCTTTGACAAGTGGTCTGGACAAATCTGGATGGATTTCTGGTTGGGAAATCTGGACAGCCACATGTAAATCAATGAAATTAGGACACTCTCTCAAGCCATACACAAAAATAAACTCAGAATGGCTTAAAGACTTAAATATAAGACAAGAAACCATAAACCTCCTAGAAGAGAACAAAGGCAAAACATTCTCTGACATAAATCGTAGCAATGTTCTCCTAAGGCAGTCTACCAAGGCGAAAGAAATATAAGCAAAAATCAACAACTGGGAACTAGTAACTTAGATGCTTTTGCACAGCAAAGGAAACCATAAACAAAATGAAAAGACAACCTATGGACTGGGAGGAACTATTTGCAAATGATGCAACTAACAAGGGACTAACTTCCAAAATATACAAACAGCTCATACACCTTAATATCAAAAAAGCAAGCAACCAATCAAAAAATAGGTAGAAGACCTAAATATGACATTTCTCTGAAGAAGACATCCAGATGGCCAACAAGGACATGAAAAGATGCTCAACATCACTAACTGTTAGAGAAATGCAAATCCACACCAGTCAGAATGGCTATCATTAAGAAGTCCACAAGTAATAAATATGGGAGAGGGTGTGGAGAAAAAGGAACCCTCCTACACTGTTGGTGGGAATGTAAATTGGTGCAGCCACTATGGAGGACAGAATGGAAATTCCTCAAAAAACTAGAAGTAGACTCACCATATGACCTAGCAATCCCACTCCTGGGCATGTAACCAGAGGAAAATACAATTCAAAAATACACCTGCACCCCAGTGTTCACAGCAGCACTATTTACAATAGTCATGACATGGAAACAACCCAAATGTCCATTGACAGATGACTGGATAAAGAAGTCATGGTATATTTATACAATGGAAAACTACTCATCCATAAAAAAGAATAAAATAATCCCATTTCCAGCAACATGGATGGACTTGGAGATTGTTATGCTAGGTGAAGTAAGCCAGAAAGAGAAATAAATATACCATATGATATCACTTATATGTGGAATCTAAAAAAACAAAAGACACCATGAACTTATTTACAAAATGGAAACAGACTTGCAGATATAGAAAACAAACTTATGGCTATCAGGCAGGAAAGGGGATGGGGAGGGATAAATTGGGAATCTGAAATTGGCACCTCTTGGGGAGTGACAGAAATGTTAGCTATCTTGATAGTGGTGGTGGTTTCATTGGAGTCTACATCTATCAAAACTCATCAGTTTGTTTATCTCAAATATGTGCAGTTTACTGTACAAGAATCATACCATAATAAAGGTGTTAGGAAAAAAAGAATTTCATCATACCAATTAATTTTATTTCTTTCTGTTGACAAACTCTGCAACAGAGATGACATAAACTTATTGACTTTCAGTAAACCTAGGTCCAATAAAAGACAGGTCTTACTGATTATACCAACAACCTTAAGTTAGCTTAGTATCAGATATTAATTTCATGTTGATTATTTCCTAGATCACATGAACCTGAAATTTGTTCTGTCTAGCCTCTTTTACACTTACAGAAGTATTTAATTTGTAAGTGCTTACTTTTAAGTCAATTAAATGGAGCCCTTTTACAAGTAAATTTTTACATTAAGACATAACCAGAGATCTGTTTTTCCTAGTGAGCTAAAAATATTTTTATTTATTTTTTTACCTTGATAGCCCAGGTAGATCATTTACATCTCAAAGTCACAGGAAGAGAAACATAAATTTCTCTTCTAACTGCTTATACAAAACCCAAGCATCTTGGCTATTTTCAGGGATTTTTTTTTTCCAGGTCCCAAATATTCACTTCAGTCTAAAGAAATAACAGTAATAGACAAAATACTATATCTGTCATTCGCTTACATTCACTTGCCTCACTTTCAGCAAAACGGGGAGAGAGAGCAAGATTTGGACTCAGGTTGTGGGACACACACTCACACGCCCGAAGTAAAAGCCAGAGCAACTGTAAAAGACCCACTGGGATGCAACAGCAGAGCCATTAGGGGGCCACTGTTCTCTGAATGTCAGAGAGCACTGAGGTCACACACCGTTACAATAGAAGTATCACTTTCTTCCATTTATTGAAGCATAACTGAAAATTTCCCTGTCTTTCCCGGGCCTTCAGGCTTGGGTGCCATGCAGTGCTCCCTGCCTCCTTCCTGGGGACACCCCCCCCTTCAGATTTGGGCAGCTTTAGCTATGACCCAGAAAAGAAGCTGACCTCAGCCAGAAGAGGCTTCAGACTCCACCTTGACTTTTCCGTTACGCACTTCCTCCCCCGCTATTCGCTATTTGGAGTGTGGGTCACGCTGTCAGAAAAAGTAGGGGACGATCGGGGAATTGAGGGCACTGATTGAGGATAATATCAGGGAAGAAGTGTGCTACTGGCATGGTTACATTTTGAAAGTAGAGTCGTTATCTTTTTAGGAGACAGACTGAAATATTTATGGATGTAGTTAGATCTGCATCACAGTAATCCAGTGCCGGCTGGGAGGATGGGTGATGTATGTTCGGCTGCCTGCTGATAACTGTTAACGCTTGGTCATGGCACGTGGGTCATTCCTTACACCTTTCTCTCTGTTTTTATGTGTGTTTAAAAATTTCCATAATACAGAGGGAAAAAACCAACACAGAAGCAACCCCAAAATACCCGCCAGATAAAACAAGGAGTACACACATTGAGATGTCACAGCACAGTGGAATCTTCTACAGCGGTGGAAATGAATAAACTACTGCGACACGCAATAATGTGGATGAGTCTTAGAAATACATTATTGAGTAAATCATAAGTCCCAGAAACATATTTATAGCCTGATATCCTTTTAAATAAAGTGAAAAATGATTAACACTTAACTCTCTAAACACGTACACATACTTACATATATTAACATATATTTATACTTAAGAACACGTATAAAACTATATTTTAAATGTACACGGATGTATGTACCCATTAGACAGGCAGACGGCTAGACAGGAGCAGAGAAAGCGAGGCACAGGCCAAATGTCAGGAAACCACACATTATGTGAACGACGGGGGTCCTTGGGCAGAGAAAAGCAGGAACCTCTAGGTTGGTAAGAAATCACACACTTGGGGGTGACAAGTGCCCTGGAGGCTGACAAAGAAAGGTAAGGATAGGCAGGAATCTCCAGTGTCTGAATGTAATCGTTTGCTCGTTATGCCCCCATTTCAATAAAATTAGCCTTGCAGATGAGAAGTACCCATCATGCACTGAGGCCAGGACACTTCAGATCCAGACTAAATAAGGACAGAAGTCCCTCCTCCCCTCGGAAAGGCGGCGCTGGGATGGAACTCAGGGAATAGGACCCCAAACCCTTCCCTCCCCAATGAATA